TCTCTGCAGCTGTCAATCAGGGAAGCAGACTGTGAAGAAGTGAGCATGAAAATTCGGTTCAAATTGACTTAGTCAACCTGGTTCAAGACATCGAGATTCTGCGTGCCAGGATCACATTTGGAAAAGGTTTCCAAGCAACAGTAATTTCAAATCCAGCTACACAATAAAGCTTAATATATGACTATTTAGAAACTCCTTTATAAAGTACATGTGACTTTGAGGGTAGGGTCTACAGCTAAAAGGCCTAGCATCCAGTATGGTCTCTACTGAGGCAGCATGTAGGCCATAGAGTACATGTGACATCTCTTTTCTATTAACTGGGGGCTAAAGATAATTGTCTAGGGAGGGAGAGTCTGGGATAATCATTCTGGGGAATTAGGGTGAGGTCTGTCCCAAAGATAGCACAAAGGTCACCATGTCGTTAACAACCTGCTCTCTCAGCTTTCTGGATGGAAAGCAGGTTTGATGTGCTTTCCTCCATGGTGGAGGCACCCCTGTGTGTTTAACATCCCTGGTTCTCTTAGTGCTTCTCTGTGAGTACAAGGACCTCATGCCCTCTACAAGAGAGGACCGTAAAAGGTAAGCCACCTAGACATGAAGTGTCAAAGGAGCCTGGGTTTTTGTCTGTGTGTCAGTATAAAGGCCATCAGAGGAAATGAAGGCTGCTTTTTGACAAGGCTAGGTGGGTTGAGACATACCAGCAAACCCAGGTGGCCATCCCCTTGTATTATTTTGAAGGGAACTCAGTTTTGGTTCATTGGTCTTATTACTGGAGTTTGTAGAGCACAAGCCTGGACCCTGACAGTCCTGACAAGATGGTGGAGCCACTGATTCTGGAAGTGCTCGATTAGATAGTGAAAACAAAACAGAGAAAGTGTGGCCACCATGGGAAGAGGAACAAATGGACCCTGAAGTCTGTCCTTAGGGTGCTGACATGAGGTTTAGGTTTAAACAGACAGAAAGTGCTATGTAAACTAAGCAGCCCTGGTCTAGGAGGCTCCTGTCCATCACCATCGCCTCGGCTCCAGTCTTTCCTGTAAGAATGTCTGACAAGTGGTCCACACTGGGTGGACCTCTTCTTGGGAGACCAGTTCCTCCTCTGTGTCCCACCAAGCCCCAGTCTTTCTATTCCCTCAGTGTGGGATTTCTGCGGAGATGCTAATTCTTGTGGTCCCTTCTTTCAATAGTTTGGTAGGCAAAAGGAGAGATCAAGATTCTCCCTTCAGGATCTTTGCTTCTGACAAGGCTTCTGCAGTTTTACTGGTGTCATTTATATAGTAGAAGCAGAAGACAAAGAGGGATGAAACTGGATGCCCCAGGAGAACTCTGGGAACAAGAAGCAGAGAGGACAGCAAGAACAGATCCTGGTATAAAGTGTGTTTTAGGTTGGCGGCAGGTTCATAGATTTACCCATGCAGGTAAAGCTGATCCCAAATGAGCACTCTGCTATTGGTGAGATTTGCAAAAGCTCAGCAAGATATGCTTTTAATTTGTGTTTATTTTTCTTATGAGACATTGTAGCCCAGTTTGGCCTGTGTTAGATATAAGGCAGCTATCTGTCTACAAAGGAAAGCTGATACAATTCCCTCTAATGGAGTTTATTGAAATGATAGGGCCCCAAGGCCGTGATGGGGCCTGAAACATTAGACAGGAAGAACACAATATAAGAAAGATCTAAGTATAATGGGGCCTTAGAGGGAAGGAAAGGCTTCCCTTTAAAGACTGGGCAGAGGCTTCCCCAAGGATGTGATGGAGGAGGAGAGAAAGTGTGTGTGAAGTACATACAGCATGAGGGGGAGATAGAGGGTAGAGATAGCACAGGGAGAGGCCAGAAAAGCCTCTTTTGAGAGCATCCTTCATCTCTGGGCCAAATTCCCATGGAATCTTCCTGAGTCACAAATCAACTGCCAGAACAAAGGGAAAGTCTGACTTTTTTTAAATTTTTAGGGGTGGTGTCTTCATTAGGGTTTTTATTTCTGTGAAGTGACACCATGACCATGGTAACTCTTATACAGGAAAATATTTCATTGGGTGGCTTATAGTTCAGAGGTTTAGTTTATTATTATCATGGCAGGATGTGGAGGTGTGCAGGCAGACATGGTGCTAAAGAAGGAGCTGAGAGTTCTACATCTTCATCTGCACGCAACAGGAAGTGAACTGAACTAGGTGAGGCTTGAGCATGAGACCTCAAAACCCATCCACACAGTGACATACTTCACCCAACAAGACCACACCTACTTCAGCAAGGCCACACCTCCTAATAGTGACACTCTCTAGGAGCTTATGGGGCCAATTACATTCAAACTAACATAAGTGGTATAAAAATTTAGGGGTGGTAGGATGTTTCACATCACACAATTTAGATTAGCATAACATGCATTGTTGTGTCCAAATTCTGAACCCAAAAATCACCAAGAGGACTGCTTTGATGCAAAAGCAAAGAATCTTTTATTGTAGTTGTTTAAGTAGCTAACCCATTAGCTCAGGCCCTTCATCTGTCCACCATGGCAGATGGCTGGAGAAAGACCCCAACAGCCGGGTAGTGGTGGCGCACGCCTTTAATCCCAGCACTCAGGAGGCAGAGGCAGGCAGATCTCTGTGAGTTCGAGGCCAGCCCGGTCTACAAGAGCTAGTTCCAGTACAGTCTCCAAAGCCACAGAGAAACCCTGTCTCGAAAAACCAAAAAAAAAAAAAAAAACAAAACAAAAAAAGGACCCCAACAACCCAGGAGGCAGAGATCTTAAAGGGCAGCATAAGAGGAATGTCTAGGGGTATGAAGTAGTCTCAGGATTGGTGTGCTTCCAGGCTTGGGTGACCTGCCCTGTGTTGATTGACCAAGTGGTTGTTATGGCCCATAGGCCCTCCCAGGGTGGTTGCTATGCTCTGTAAGTCACTGTTGTGCACTTGTCTGTAGAGTACACCCAAGAGCCATAAAGCACAGCCCCGCCAGCTAACTTCTGATTGGTTCCTTGCCACAAGGAGGGCATCTGACCTCCTAGTGACCAGGATAGTAGTGGCAAGGTCATGTAAGCACATGTTAGCCTGTCATGGCTGCTAAAATGGGGGGCTTGTCACTACAGCATGACATGGAGTTTGGAGGACCCGGGTACTGTAAAAGGAGAGCTGTCAAGTCACAGGACAGATTGCTTCTTCATTGTCCGGCCCAGAGAGAGCTGCAGGGAGTTATAGCCTGGTTCAGCCTGTGGTATTCGGTCTGAAGGCTCCAGTTTTAACAGCCTGTACTTTATTGTATAGTCTACACTAGCCTCAAATTTCACCAAGGAGGCTATCTTAGCTTCTAAGTGATGAAATTTTAGGTGTAAGCCACCCAGCAAAGAGTGTTTTTGTTTATTTGGTTAGTTGGTTGGTTGTTATTGTTACTGCTTTGGAGACAGGGTTTCATTAAATAGCCTTGATTGGCCTGGAACACTGTAGAGATCAGACTGACCTTGAATTCACAGAGATCTACCTGCCTTTGTCTCCCTGGCACTAGGATTAGAGGCATGGGCTATGATGCCAAGCCTAAAATCAACTTTTTTTAAGAACCGTTTCTTCAGTCCTGTTGTGGTGGCACATGACTTTAATCCTAGCACTCAGGAGACAGATTCAAGCAGATCTCTGTGAGTTTGAGGCCAGCCTGGAACAAAGCTAGTTCCAGGACAGCCAGGACTACACAAAGAAACCCTGTCTCAAAAAAACAAACCAAAAAACCCCAACAAAACAAAACAAACCCCCACTGTTTCTTCAGTGAGTAGCAATCACTTGATCCTGTTTGACTTTCCCAGGAGTTCACTCCCCTGTATACTCAGCAGATCAGAAGGCCACATCCTGCCATTCTCTGTAGGGTCAACAGAGTGAGGACCACATTGTGCTTTTCTCAGGATCCAGAGGCCACAGCGGGAAGCAGAATCTGTCATTTTAGCTCATTTAATGTGTTTTTTTTCCTTTAAAAGATGTGTCTCTGAGTAATGTCAGAAGCTACATCCATAAAGTCTCACCAATATAACTACCTAAACTACAACTGAATAAAGACGATACCAATAGACATACCAAGGTGGGGGATGGGAAGAGGCCATGAGGCCTCAATCCTACACAAAGAACTACAGATAACTAAGAATGATGAGTGTAGGAGAAACAGTCTTTTCCAGGGAGGAGCATAGTAACTGGTTATTCAATACCATATGACCAACCCTGAAGACGTACATACACGTAGCATTGTACAGACTGAGCAGGTTATACAGATATGCATGTAATAACAATTAATGAAAAAGAGACCATGGATCTCAAAGGGATCAAGGAGGGGTATATGGGAGAATTTGAGGGGAGAAAGGGGAAGGGAGAAGTGAGGTAATTATATTATAATCTCAAAAATTAAAGAAAAATGTTTTTAATTGAAATAGAATGATATCATTTCCCTTTCCTTCTTCTAGCTCCTCCCAAATACCCTCTCTTAAATCCCTCCCATGCCCCACCCAAAGTTGATAGTTTATGGCCTCTGTTTCTTTGATCACATGTGTTTCATAGACACACATGTACATAGATGTACGTGTTTAAATAGAACCTGTTGAGTACATTCTTTGAGGTTATTTGTGTGTATATGGTTTGAAGGTTGACCACTCAGGGACCATCAAGGAAGAGGGTAGCAGAAAGCCTGTAGGAGCAAGAGATCAGGAAGCCACAATACTGCTGTGAGACAGTCTGTTATAGAAATGGCTGCATCAGTGTGTCAGAATGACCACGCCATCTAAGACGCTGTGTCTAGAAATGGCTGCTTAAACAAGACCAAAACAATGGCAATATCAATGGATATCTTAATGTAGAAAAGGGAGATTTTCTCAGCGTCCCACCCCCCACCCCTAGACAAAGAACATCAGGCAACTATTTCATGTGATTTGTAAAGAGGAGCAAGCTCTCTCACATAATCCAACATGTCCCTCTTCCTTCTAGTTAGCTGCTTGACCTTTGCTGTCAACTAAAATATCAAAAACCGCTCAAGGTGCCCAAATTATCCAGTCCTTTATTTTGGTAACTTCAACATAGCCTTTACAATGCCAGTTTCTCCTGACTGCTTAGGTCCTTTTGCCAAGGCTCCTGCAAATTTATCAAGCAAATTCAAAGTTCTGTATGGGCTGGTGGCATTTGATCTCATGAGGCAGAGAAAAGGGAAAGTGTGGAAGAAATCGTGTGCAAGCAAATCAGCAGGAATCATTGCACATGCAAAAGTTATTCTACCCCCGTCTTAGTTTCTGTTCCGTGGTTGTGGCAAGATACTTGGATAAAAGGTACTTGAAGGAGAAAAGGGGTTATTTTATCACCAGAGAATATTTTACCAGTTCAGTCTTTTATGTTTTTAAAAATATATAGATAAATACCCATATTCCTTTGTTGATGGGGGACACACATGTGCCAGAGTGTATGTGTAGAAGTCAGAGGACAAATTGTTTTGCAACAGAGCCCCAGACCTCAAAAGGCCGCCAGACCTTAGCACAACTGACTCCATGATGGAAGTATCACTCAGGCCATAACTCATCACATAGACAGCACCACCTGCCAAAATGAAAATGAAGATTTAATCCATCATGGCCCACACATCTTGGAAAATCTCTAAATATATTAACCTTGCATTTTGGCTTCTGTAGTTCTATTTCTGGCTAACTGTTGTTAATTGAAGTATGTGAACACAGGACATGGTTTTTGTGCTTAAAAGCTCACCTTGAGACAGGCTTCGCTCTACCCTGGAATCCTGAACACACAATGTAGCCTCTGGTTGACTAGTAGACTTCCTACTGGCTTAAACCCAAGTCTGAGCAGTCTTCTCCGGTGGGCACCCCACAACAATTCTTGCTCTCACTTCCAGCTGCTGTGACATAGATAGACTAGTGAATACTAGCCTTCTTGATACTGTCTGTCCCTTCACTGGTTTTTGCTTTTTGATGCCTTGCTATTTAATCATATTTCAATGTTTAATGAGTTTTTTCTTTCCCTATTAGAAGGAAGATGTGATAAAGCTAAATGCAGGCAACAGTGATCTGTATCCAGGTACATGTGTTTGTGTATGTGAGCATGGGCTGGTATTTACAGCTGTGTTTTTCTGCAAACATATGTTCTCAGGAACAACACTTAACTGTTTGTCCAAATGCTCACACTGGAGAGTTTCTTGGGAGGGTAGGGATCATGAGTGATGTTTATTTTCTGCTTAAAGCTTTTTAAGATACTAATTCTCGAAGAATTTCATATAATGGATCTTGATCAAATTCACTTCTCCCTCCCAGGTCTACTCCCCCTATTTCCTCATCACCCTGATGTTATCTTTATTCTTTCTTTCCTTTTTTTTTTTTTTGAAGTATTTATCTTCAAGCAGCCTTAGTCCTCTGGCTCTTACAATCTTTTTACCTCTCTTCTATGGTATTCCCTGAGCCTTAAGTGTAGAGGTTTTATTTTATTTTATTTGTATTTCTTTGTTGTTGCTATTGTTTTGTTTTCTGTGTCCTGTGTCTGCAGATTACAGGAATTTAACATTATGTTGCATGTGATTAGTTACAGTGAAAACCTCCTAACCCAGGCATCCGACTGACGGCTCTCTTGGGGAGAGACTAGTGGGGGGAGTAACCCTGACTGCAGGTGCTTGCCTGTTATCTGGAGTGAGGAACACGATATGGACTGGTAAGTTACAAAGTTGAGGAAACAGGTCAGAGGTGATGTCTAAGGAAGGAACTGAGACCACCCTGACTCGTACAACCACTAGAGATTGGCTGGCATCCCTGACATGGGAGCTTCAGTATTTACTCCAGAGCAGCATCCATCACAGTCAGATCAGCACTAGCCAATCAAAATGCAGGAAGAATCCAGCAAGTATCAAGGCTACCTGGGTGGGAATCGCTAGTCCAGTGGCTACCTTTCCTCCTGGCACTCCTGAAGGAGGTCAGCGAGAATGGAGGTCTCCTTAAGGAGACTAGTCTGACAGGCTGCTCTCTCCTTGTAGTTCTAGAAGCCAGGAAAGAAAACGGAAAATCTCCAGAGGGTGATTGGGTCTAGACGGCAAACACTGAGGTTTCCAGGCTCATCTCCTATCACAATGACTTGTACAAAGGTACATGGACAATTACAAGAAAAGATCATTTATTGCCGGGCGGTGGTGGCGCAGGCCTTTAATCACAGCACTCAGGAGGCAGAGGCAGGCAGATCTCTGTGAGTTCGAGGCCAGGCTGGACCAATAGCCTCCAAAACAATACAGAGAAACCTTGTCTTGTAAAACCAAAAAAAAAAAAAAAAAAAAAAAAAGATCATTTCTTGATGGGAGCTATAAGAACATGGAGGTGTTGCATGCTTCCTTGTGGCCTGGCTCAAAGAAGGGAAGTGAGAGAGAGAAGGAGGCCTGAAGTGAGGTGCCCAGTGACCTCTTCAGTCTTTTCCCTGTTGTGACCTTTCATATTTCATCTCAAACTATGGAATTTCCTGCCTCACCAAAGTTTCTGACCTTTTATTTCTTTTTAACTTACAGATGGGTAGCTCTCTTCAATGAAGGCTCCCCTCCATTGTTTCCTTACTCTTTGGGATCACTTAAAAAATGCTACATATTTTCCTGGTCTGAAATAACCTTCGGAGATAGCTCCCTGCCCCCCAACTTCGGACAAGAATTCCTAGAAAGAAGCTGTGTCTTCGAAAGCTGATTGACTGATTAAAATGTCATGACTGTGGAGAAGTTGGAATGTTGCAGGTCCAGAGGCTACTTATATCAGGCCATCTTCAGCCCCCTAAATAGCCATTCTATGCCTGCCTCTGTGACTGGCCTAACCTCCTGTGACTAACACATAAAAAACGTTTTGGAATGTATTATTAAGAGAACCAGAGTTTTCACCAACCAAAACGCTGAGGCATCACGTAGCTCCTGAGGCCTATAGCTGAGATTTCTCTGATTAGCTATAGCTACCTTCTTAATGTTTCTGTTGATACATTTTTTTAAATCCTTGATTTAAGACTTTTTTTGTTCTGTTACTATAAAAACTAACAGAATTGCTATATTATTGGATCATGGAATTTGAGCTAAACAAAAAATTTGAGATCCCAGGCCATAGTCACCCACATTTGCCTCCAGAATTCTCTTTGGTGTGTGAGCTGTGTTTTTGTACCAAGAATACCATTTTACAATGAGATTTGTTTGGGAAAAGACAGAGGTAAATGATCAAAGGTGACTTATGCACTGGCCTTATTTGTTTTGGAGATAAACCACTCTTAAGCAAGGACTGCTTTATCTACCCAGCACTCCCTGCTTCCCTAACAACAGAGACTCCCATGTTGCTAAAGACCTCCTGCTGGTACAACTACCCACAGAGCAAGCAAAGGCGTCTCCTCCTTGCTCTGAGGACCCAGAGCCCATCTAGAACCTGTCCTCCCCTCTTGTTCTTATGCAAGACAGGGATTGATTGACCAGACAAAGAGAGACATTGGATGGACATCTCCTTTTCCTTATAAGATCTGGGACACATAAAAGCTGATCTTGGAGACATGTCCAGAAGCCACTGTCTAATTCACCAAGATCTTTGGGGACTCAGTCCTCTTAGCTGGCCTTGAAGGATGTAATGTGACCCCTATACTAGACTCTGTCTCCCAGTGGAAAGACTGTGGCTTTGCAACCCACTGAGAGATGGAAGGACCAGACTCTTGGAGCAACACAGAACACTACAATGGGTAAGGTACAAACACAAGCAGAAAACCAAGGCCCTGTGGAGGAGAAGTGGTTCTGAGGCAGACAAGGGTAGGAAATATTTTAGTGATGTTGGCATAAAAGCACAGCCCTCAACTCAAAAGGGAGAAGAGATCAGTTATTCTGGAGCCAACTATGAGTGACCGTGGCCCAGGACCATAGGGTTAGGTGACTCCCAAAGCCCATGTTCCACCATGGAAGCATTTTCATGACACTTTTATAGTAACAGAACCAAGGAAGTCATAAATCAAGACACTTTTCAAACATGTTGGTGGGAAACATCAGGCAGGGGTAGCAGAAAGAGAAATGTCAACGATGGGTCTTGGATGTTTGAGATAACTCTTAGCCTTTTGGTAGATAGGAAGTACAGCTTTGTTGATACATCCCGAGAGGTTTCATCTGTTACTCACAGGATATTAGGTCTGACACAGAGGTGGATGAGGAGTGGCTACTTAGGGGACTAAAGATGTCCCAAGATCATTGTAATTGTGCACTGGGTCTTGTGTAATATAAAATAATACCTTTTGAGTCAAGAAGTCCTTATAGGAATTAAACAAATCATACAAGAATGCCAAGAAAATGGGTATATCATCCCTTGCATAACCCTCAAAATATCTCAATGTTATTAGGAAGTCAAAGAAGAGAATGTGGAGACTTGTGCCACCAAGCCCCAAATACGGTAGCCATTGCAGTGGTCCTCAGTCCCCACACCCACTCTTGGTCACAGAACTGTAGGTGCCTTTCTGAGTACCTCTGTTGTGTCTAACAGGCAGTGTTTGCTTGTCTTCACATGGGACAGCAATCTACATGAAATGGGATGGCCCAGAAAAACACCGAGATTCCTACATCGTTTTCTCAAACTTGTAAGTCTCCCGATATTTATAATTCTTGCAGGCGTCTGATTTGATTGTGGTAAGGGTCCCCCTAGAACAAATGAAAGACAAGAGGCTTAGTCAGCACCAGTGTGTGCATACTCATCTGTGCATACTCATCCTCCTCACAATTCTTGGGTCCTCAGTGCCATAGCAACCCAAACCCATTCCTGTAGCTTAATATCATAGACCTAGAGCCACAGACTTTTCAAACACGTTGGTGGGAACATCAGGCAGGGGTGGCAGAAAGAGAAATGTCAACGATGGGTCTTGGATGTTTGAGATAACCGTACAAGGGGGACAAAGGGACTAAGATGTATATGAGGTGAAGCCCTGCTGCACTTGAGGCTCAGCCTTTGGATGCGAATCTGCTGAGTCAGTTTCAGCACAAATAAAGCGGCTCCATGGCAGAAAGCCTGGGTGTCCTGTTTCTCTGTTCAGAGTCCCTTTACAGATGACCTGCTCTTTTCTCCCTCACATGATGCTTGACTCAAAGGTCAAATTTTCTTATTATAGCAACTAGTTAGAACAGGCTGTAAGGTATCAAAACACAAAACGCAGCTTTGCCCACAAGAGGTTAAATACCTAGGTTATACAGCGACTCCTTCCGGATTGCTCATGTATCTTGTAAGACAAAAACAGGGGAAATATACCTTGCAGGCTAAGGGTTCTGTCTGCCATTTAGACAGTTAAGAATAGGTTCCCGCTTGTCTTATGTAAGATCAGGTTTCTAGTTGTAATAAAGAAGTTCCTGTTTGTCCTGTGCAGGCTAAGGTTTCTGCTTGTATTTAAAGAGTATTTTTCTAACAATGTATAACAGCCAACTCTCTCACCCCTGTAACACTTTATATCTCATATAAAAGGGACTTCAAGAGGCCAGCCGGGGCTGCTCTCTAAAATCCTGACTTAGGGAGAGGCAGCTAGACTGACCAGTCCCTGGTGCACTCTAAAATAAAGGTTGCTTTAATTGGACAATTGTGGATCTGGTTTAACAATCTAAATAGTACCTCTGTTATTAGTAAATGTCCTATACCCCAAACAAAAGAACAGTGAAAGGGATCCTAGGACCAACTGGTTACTATTGAAACTATACTCCAAACTACTCATTAATTGCCCAGTCACTATATAAGAACTGTAAACAGGACAGATCTGATAATGCACAAGAAGGCCTGGAGGAAGAGGTGGCAATTTAGGCTTTAAAGTTATGTTTAAATCAGGCCCCTACCCTAAGGCAGCTGGTCTATGAACTCTTTTTTCCCTCTTGTTTCTGAGAAGGAAGGGAATGGAAAGGGTATGCTGATTTAGAACCATGGTGGAGGGGGTGGCGGTGAGGACGTGCTACATAGGCCCCTTGGTACTCTAGTCCTCTGTAGCCAGAGGACATCCTCCTTGCATGCAAGCCATCACTGCCCCTGCTGTGCTACTTAACAGATCTGAAGAGGTCCTTCCACCACTTACAACCCACTCCATAGGAACTTTGCTACACTCAACATCACACCAGCAATGCTCAGTGAGGTCCGCCCTCCCATGCGACACTCCTGCTTTCATCTCCCTGGTGCTCTGCAATGCTCTCCATCCTGCTGCCTCGTGCCCCCTTTATCAGATGAGCTAAGAGGAACATAGCTAAGCTCAGTACTCAATATACTTGTTGCTTCCAGGAAAGACATTTGAAACAGCTGTGGAAAGCACAGAATTGATTTTATTTACTGCTAGTTCTTATCTTTGAGATGAACAAGGGCATTTCTAGACAGGATATGCAGTTACTTCCACTCTTGGTTTAATGGATTACACTCTTTTGCTGATGGGTAAAGCTGTTCAGACTTAACCAAAGTGCCCCTAGTGGTAAAAAGAACAGTTTTAACACACACACATTGAGTCACTACATATTTGGAATGCTGCACAAGAAAGAATTTCTGAATTCCTCAAATCTTAGAATTGCTGGGTGCTGTCAATTTCCCTACTAGCCATTATTAACCTCCTAGGATACCTAAAACAAAGACTGAGGAAGCAAAGGTCGTGACATGGGTGATGGGACAGCAAGCATGGCTGCATTGTGTGGAACAACATGCCCTGAGAGACTTAGTCCTGGTCATTGTACTCATCTGACTTTCTTCATGGTCATAGTGAGCATCCAAGGAAGACAAGAACAGTTGGCTATAGAAGGGGAATGGTTTCAGTCTCCAAGATAAGCTTTGGTTGGATCCTTGGTAGGAATCCCATAATACCCCTAAATGACCAATTTCCTCTTCTGGATTATATATATAGCTCAACTTCCTGGGCATCAGAAAACCTAATCTCTTGTTTATTATTTGGGGTTATTAACAATAACCCCAAAGGTAAACTCAAGGTGTTCTGTTTGTGCCAAACATAAGCCTGCTAAGCCATTTCATGGCACCAGAGCATTTCTGTTAGGTTTCAGGAAGTGAGTATGTCTGGACTATAGAAGGATTTCTGGTGGTTAGATAAAAGCCAGTATTCCTCATGAACTTGTAAAACATGTCAAAATGAGTCATTTCTGTAGCTTCTAGCAGAAAGGACATATGACTCACTACTGACATCTACCTGTGGTGCCTACCAGCATATCAAGGTCCATGCTATCCTTCAGGATCCTACCGATTTCAAAGTCTGCACTGGGATCCCCATTACCACGTGGTGACCATATGCTTACATAGGTAGCTGGAACGCTGTCTCACTTCTGCTTAAATCTCCCCTTCTCAAATCTGATGGTGTTTGATGACTAGGGTACTGACAGGCTTGCCAGCTTAACAAGCACCTTGTTAGCTCATTAGTTAGGTTTCCTGTTAAAAGTACAGACAGGCATGCCTCCTTCACTGGCTTCATGATGTTGTAATTTAAGAAAAGCAGCACACGGGGAAAGATGCCATGGGATAGGGTTCAAGCAGAGGTTTTTTTTTTAATTAGGGAAAGGGATCATTAAAAGGGGAAAGGGAAGTGGGGAGATTGGCCTCCAGAGACGGAGCAGCAGGAGAGAGGAGAAAGGAGAGAGGGGGAAAGAGAGAGGGGGAACAGACAGAGAGAGGGAGAGAAGAGGAAGGAAGGAAGGAAGGAAGGAAGGAAGGAAGATGGATAGATGGATGAATGGATGAGAGGTAGGCAAGGCCCCTTTAAAAGGTAACATAGTGAATATGCACAGGTGGTGCTCTTAGTGGCTGCACCTGAAGCCATATCCTGTCAGAACCCCAAGGACAGGCCTGTATAGCTGCCTGAATACTAACACATGGTACAGGATAAATAGGTTTCAGATGTAAATTCAGAGGCTCAGAGTTTTAGCATTGATAAATACTGACTAAATTTCTGTGGATTTTACTGGTCCTAGCTTTTTTCAGCCACATAAGACAAAACTCTGTTGAAATGCCAACTCCTCCCCTCTTAAAAGGTTAACATTATAAAGAGGGTATAGAGACCTGCAGGCCCTGTTTAGCTTCTCTCTTCTTCACTCACCCAACCTCTTTTGTTCAGTGAATTTAGACTTAAGAACATTCATGCCTTTTATCCCAAAGCCAAAGCCTTTTACTATGACTCTAAATCTGTCTTACAGATACCTGCAGGTCCTGGGGAAAGTTCTGCTACTGTGTCAAGAAATCTGGATTTATGGAAACTAATCCTGGTCTCCATAGCTCCTCTTTTTGCAGGTTCACTCCTCCTGCCTGGGCCAAGGCTAAACCCGCAGGGTGCCATCCATATATACCAGCCCCTGTACCAGCTCCAAGGACACCAACTGGGAGGATACTGGCAGGTTAACTTCACCCGCATACCCACTCATAAAAACTCTCTTATCTCCTAATTTTTTGACATTTCTACAGGATGGGTAGAGGCATTTCTCACCTCCAGAGAAACAGCAGATTTGATGACTCAGGTACTCCTGGAACACATTATCCTTTGATTTGGTGTGCCATCTCCCTAAACTCCTGAGATTTCGCTGTTGGTACTACCTCTTCAGGCTCAAGTAGGCACCTATCCAGCAACTGGGACCTGGTTTTCCAAGATGTCCCAATGAAGGACATATCTGTTCTTGTGTCTGTCTTATTTACCCTTGTGTCTTTTGTACAATCAAGGCACTTCTCCATTTTTTTCTGGTAGTCTCCCCTCTTCACATGGCTAGCCCCATTCATAGGGCTGGTGATAATTTTTTTCTCCTAGCAATCTCCTTCTCTGCCTCCTCAAGGAACAGAGGCCTGAGGTCTCCAGGATGGCAGCTAACCACCAAACGTTTCTTCACCCACCCATACCTCCCACTGAGCATAAGCCTACTGACTCCCAACTCTTCCTCCCCTCCCCACATAGTCCTGTGCCCAGAGGAAGTAGCCAGATTTGAACTTGTACCCATATATACCCAAAAAGGTTGGAATGTTGAAAACTCCACCCAGTCTCTCTCCTCTCATTCCAGACCCTGCCTCTGAGAAAGTTCATCATCAGAAGCTCCTCCTATTTAGGCTATTTAATCCTGGCCCATAGACCTGCCAAATGTTCTTCCTCCTGCCTTTCTGAGAGTCACCATGAGTTGCTTCACTCGGCTTTGCTTTGTTTACTAAATCTGAATTTATTACTTTGGTTTGATTTGTCTTATTACATCAGCGGAGGAACCCTTTGAATCTGCTCCACCACTAGATTCATTTTTGCCCTTTTAATTTTTATTTTGTTACACTGTTAACATATAGCCATTAGTATGGTGTTTGTTCGCTTGTTTTGTTTTCTTAAGCTATACAAGGGAATGTATCCCTGGAATCTAACTACAACAGACTGCTATGCTGGACAGAGCATGACAACCACTCTCCTGGTTCTTGTCCTTTCTGGGGCCATCGATTCCTATTGCTTAAACCCTGTAGTAAGATATAGAACAATTTCAGACAGAACTCCCCATGATACAGAGATATTGCCCAATTCCTACTACAAAACAAACAAACAAACAAAAAAGACCAAACCCTAATCTTCCTCCACAAGCAACAGATAAAATAGGATGGAGTCTTACAATCATTCTTAGGCAGGAACTATTCCCGTCATCAGCATGAATTATAGGAAAATGACTGAGTA